GAATTAAAAAAAATACAAAACTGCCAATAACAAAATGGCTCCAAGAGTAGAAATCCACAAGGACGACTCTCAACCAGAAGGGCACCTGAAACCAGTGACCCTTGGAGTTTAGAGAACAAATTCAGGGGAAAGAGGCGAAATGGTGAAAGGGGCCATTACTGTGGTTCAGCTGCGGGGGGCGGGGGATGGGTCAAGGATCAAGGAAGAAGTCGGCCAGGTCTTAAGGGGTGACCCCCGAGCGGGCGGCCAATGCCAGATTTCCCCTGGAAACAATAGTGGATTTATGTTAATTGTGACTGGCTGGATTAGGGGTTTTGTCCCCCCCCTCTCCCACCCCAAAGGCTTCAGAAGGCTCTTGAATAGAGCCTTACTCTCTTAGGTGCACACGTAGGACCGGTATCCCCAGACTGCAAAAGGCTGCGTCCATAATCGTTTTGTGGGATAATTAATCAAGTGCTCACGCCATTGTCTGGCATGACCTCATATGACAGCCGTCCACGGAGACAGTGGTCTGGGCTTCTGGCAGAGTAAGCAAATGTCCTTTCCCAAAATTCCCGTGGTTTGCCAGAGGATGAGTTTGCAGCAAACAAACAAAACAAACATACAAATAAATATTTCATGTTTCCACCAGGCATTTGTGATTCGAGTCGGATTTCACAGTAACCCACAAGTGTCTAGGTGAGATTCAGCGTCTAATTGAGGTCGCGGGGAACCCAGGCATGTTCCAAACCCAGCGGGAGGCCCAAGAAGGCCAGGCTCCCTTTTTCGGCTGGAAACAAAATCTGCCAGAGGCAGCGAATCCAGAGGAGCCTTGGGAGGCTGCCACGCAAAGCTACCGGGTGCGCCTTGAATAAATAAATCAAAGCAGGTTTTGTATTATACTTATGCCATTCACAGCATCTATATAAAGAATCCTGTATAATTGGGGGGGGGGGGGGTGCAGAAAAATCAACTAGCTAATCACAGAAAGGGAACAAATCCAAGGATTCATAATAAAAGGTGAAGAGGTACTTCTAAGGGATGGGGAATTGCTCTTGTACCTTTGAGTGGTCTACTTAAACTAGTTTTTCAGAACATATCCTGGGATGAAAACACAGCATACAACCATCCTGATCATTATGGATAATGACAGACAGATCACGATACTACTGCATCAGTAAAAAGCAAGGCCGTGATTGGACTACGAAGCCGAAAGGGAGCACAGCTGACTGCAAAAAGCCGTGCCAGCTCTGAGCCAGACAGAAAACTTCTGGAAGCATCTCTCAGAACAGAGAGCCAAGAATGAGAGGCAGGGAGACGGAGAGCACCAGTGCCGTGCTCGATGTTGCCCGTGAACAGATCTCACCTGTATTAAGTCAAAGCTGCGAAAGCAAGCGGATGGTATTTAACTTACTAGTGTATCTGAACGGGGCATAATCCCGCCAAGATATATTCACGTCTTTCCCTCCCAGCCTCACCAGTACTTAGGGCTTTCTCACATTCTTGTAGGACCCACTGATCACATGATCCTTTCGCCCCGGGCTAATGTTGCAGCCCAAACCATGGGGGGGGGGCAGGTTCAAAAAAGGCTATATTACACAATGCTTTTGTAGGTAAAGATGGGAGAGCCAGTAATTCCCAGCTGCAGCCCTGGCCGGGGTTCTGTCAAACCCACTGTGGGTTTTGATGTTCAAACGCCTCACAGTGCAGCAGGAACGGAGGCCCTATCAAAGTAGCATCTATTGCCACAAGCGCTACACAGCTATACAAAGTTCTGGCACGGCATGGGGAACACCGGACCCAAAATGCAATGAGACATACTCCTCTCTCTGGGATCGGCAATACCAGGCCAATCCAGCCATCCACTATGCACAAAACCACTGCCTGATAAAATATTTATTTTTTTCACCCTTCGAAGTACAACTTCGAAGAAGCAGGAGCTCCTTTTTAGCTACCGTGTTCCATGATCTAATGACTTTTGTTTCTGACTTCTTCCACATAGGTTACATGGTTGCAAATGGATACAACAAGCCATTTGTACCTGCAACTGCTGGCCTTTCATACAGGGAAGGTTCTGCTGCCACCTGCTGACGGTTTTAAGAAATAGCACAAGAAAAACAGGTTTAAGATCCTCGGAGAGACAGAAGGAAACTTGGAAAATACAAACCTTTAGTCGTAGAGTCATAATGACAACTTGCCCCAGTAAATAAAAGGAAATAATTCTTGGATGAAATGTTATATATTAAATTGTGTAAAAATATTCAAAAAAACATTTATTCGCTGTAATCATTTCAAATTTTGAAATAAAGCAAGATCAAGATAGTACATAACTTTCCGGAAATTCCTTCACAGAGATATAAAAAATTTACTGTAGCTTATGCCATTCCTTTTGTTGCATAATAGATAAAAGTATAATGTCTCTTCAGACATCGTGGCAAACCCTGGGGAGGGGTATCTCACGGAACCCTCATCAAGTGACTTTCCATGGAAGCGCACAGAGGTTGGTTTTGAAGCACGCTGACTCCTGCGTCTCCCGAGCGGTCACTCTGAATGGTCCGCTGTGACTCCTCAATGCTCTTCTCAGCCTGTCATTCACTACGCACTCATTTTTATAGGAGATCCGGCAATTAGCATGACAGAGAAATAGTGCAAAACACCTTCATTTAGTAGCGGCCTAATCAGGCACTGATATCACACACATACACAGGTTCTATCATCCAAGGAGACCCTCAGCCGCTCTCTGGAACATTCTACAGTAGCTTATGGAGACAGAAGCTGGTTTACAACAGTTCTTTGGTCATAGGCTAAGTCCAGAACCCAAATTCTTATGTTTCAAAGAATATGTAAGTGCAAAATTTTAAGCACAAACAATCGCAGAAACATAAAACACAAAATGAGCATCTTCTATAATGGCAGCGTGTACAATAACATCCATCCACCCTTGAAAGGTCACTAATTGCCCCAAATTGCCCATCCTTGACCTATGACAGCACTAGGGAGGAAACCCCACTGAAATGCCAAAGGAACACTCATTCATCCAAGGGATCGAGTGGTGGCTGGTCAACAAAGCTGTCTGGATACTGCCTTCTGCAGAATGTAGCAGCATGAGGATGGAGACATCTGACCTATACTGATAGTTCTGAGGTCATGCTTAAAGAAGTTTCTGGTTATTTCAGAAACTGACACTGATACTGATTATTTGGGAGGCTCTGCTTAAAGAAGTTTAAAGGGACAGTCCACCCAAATAAATATTGTCCAAAAATACGAAAAAAGTATTTATTTTTGGTAAGAAAACACGAAATCTAGCATACAACAACAGTCCCAGAGCACTATATTTTATGACTGCATACATCTTAAATATTTATAACATTTATAACAGAGAAGTGTGATAAACGGCATAATTTTCCCGAGTAATGTCTTTTGATTTCGCACTGTCAGCACTGAATTTTCTTTTGCGATCAAACGCTTGCGTTACTGACTGATTAGCATCATTGGGAAGGACTGCAGCCTTCTTTATCAGAAAGGATTTATTTTTCAGAAACCCTTCATCCTGTCGTGCTGAAATGTTCATTAGTAGATCCTACTTGTGAAATTTTAGCAAATCAAAGTGCGCAAAATGCATTTCTAGCAACATTAAAATAATTCCACACAGCAGACATTTTTCTGACTGTTTACTACGCCGGTGTGCTAAGCAATACGGGCCACCATTTTGAAGGCAATTATCAGTGGTAAATAACAGCTCATTTTTAACCATCGGCTGATACCGACGGTTGGTCGATACAACCAGTGCATCTCTAATCAATCAAACAGACGTCCACCCATCACTTAGTCTTACCCAAAAAAATCCAAACACTGGCCGAATAATGCCAAATCAAACACTCTGCGACACTGATTATATGACGCTAAGTCTCTACAACCCCCAGCCCCCACACCTGACGAACAGGAAAAGTTAACCCGGCAACCGGTCACGTTGGCCATAGCTCACCGTCACGGCTGGGGGGAGGAATGAGGAGCTGACCTTTGACCTCAGTGCTTCTGTGTGGCAAAGCTAACTGGTGTTAATTTCATGTGAAATATCCATTTCCAAACATCAGAAACACTGAATGAACTCAGCCCTTGTCTAGGAGTATCAGTTAAGCGTTTCAATTCCACTTTAAGGACACATTATCCATCCTTTCCCGGGATATTACAATCTTTGTCTCCTAAAAAGAGTTGGGTGGTGGGTTCAAATCCCATGAATCCCATAACCGCTAGAGTAGCTGTATCATTGCCGGACCCTTGACCCCAAATGATCCAGGTACCTGGGCTACCTCTGCTTCCTGCGGCTCCTAAATAAATAGCCAGCACCAGACTGTGTGTATATTTACACAGACGTAGCCAAAACACTGACACTCACTGCTGATGCCATGTACATATTGAGGGACAGACCATACCAGGAGGGTTGAGACCAAATAGTACGTAGAAAAAAATAGGTCCCGATGCAGGAGAAGGTGTTTCTCAGCTACGATAACCACAAATGTCCCTCTGCTGCCACCTTGCGTCACAAAGGAGGACTGCAAGAAATAGGGACAATTACCTAATGACATTGTCATTAGGTAATCGAACTATGATGGTATATTACACCACTGAGAGAAGTACAAATCAGAGGTGGAAAGTTCATGTCCAGAAAGTACAAATCCAGACCAAGATTTTGTTTCAACCAACCAGTTGAATACAAAGAGTAACAGTCACAGAGTGCTCAACTGGTTGGTTGGAACAAAATCTTGGTCTGTATTTTTACTTTCTAGACCTGAACTTTCCATCTCTGGTGTAATACTTTCATAACATTTTTCTTTCCCAATCGATGATATAACTACAGATGTTCAATCGATTAAAAATTAAGACACAAACAAGGAGAGTTTGGCATAAATGTGAGAAACAATTATTATGCTTTACGTACCAAAATGACATATTAGCAGCAAAATAGAAGAGAAGCACAGTTAAAATGTCCAAGAATGCACTGGTGCATGAGCCCAGTTTACCTTGATGCGAGGCATGGTGACAGTAGGAGGTCTGGCTTTGGCCACAAAGCTCAATGAAGAGCCCCTCTCAATCAGGCTCCTGGTGTACGGCATGAAGCGCCGGCCTTTGGCCCCGTACACAAAGTCCTCCCGGAGGGCGTCGATCAGCAGCACCACCACCCGGTTAAAGAGGGCAGGGGGCACCTTTGAAGAGTTGCCTGCATCTGCTGCAAGAAGAAAAAAGATGTGGGAACTTTCAAAATATAAGATAACTTAAGTGGCTTTAATAATCACACTTTTACTGACATAAAAGCTGTGGAGGTTACTAAACTACCCATAGGTGTGCATGTGTGAGTGAATGGTGTGTGAGTGTGCCCTGCGATGGGCTGGCTCCTTGTCCTGGGTTGTCTCCCGCCTCGTACCCATAGCTTCCAGGATAGGCTCCAGACCCCCCCGCGACCCAGAGGGATAAGCGGTTTGGAAAATGGATGGAAAGAAAAGCTGTGGGGGTCTAATGGTTGCTCAGAGGTATATAACTTGAGAAATTCATTCTTGTTTTCAGTGGCAGCTTAGTAGAGCAGTGGTGGCCTTGTGGTTGGGGAAGCATGCTTGTGAATAGAAGGTTGCTGGCTTGAATCCCTGACCAGCAATGTAACACCATCCCCAATAACTGCTTCCCAGGTGCTAAATTAGCTGCCCACTGCTATGCTACACATGGGTTAAATGCAGAGGATGCATTTTGTCGTTGTGCAGTGTGTCTAAAATTAATCATTTTCAAATAAAAGCGAAGCACGACTCGTTGCAGCTCTCCTTCCCAGATTAATGGAGTGTTCCTCCTCTCGCAAAAGTGGACAATCTACTACTAGATTTAATGCACAACTTGCTGATCGCGTACCTGGACCAGGCTCGGCTGGCTGGTCAGACAGTTTACTCTTCAGGGTGAAGGACGACTTGACCGGCGCTGGAAAAAATCCTCGTAGGAAAAGTGCAATGCCACATATTTCCAATATCAGGCAAAGAGAGGCAAACACCGACGAGCGGACTTTCATTGTGTTTAAATGCTACCAAAGATGGTTAATATCGATCTGTTTTTAGAAGGAATTGGTAGATTTACTTTTTATCTAATTTCGCCAGGAATTAAGAAACAACTCGCCACTATGGAGATTAGTGTTACTATATCCTCGTGCATTTACACTATCGAGCTGTATTATGTTAACAAACATTACTGGTATGGTAATACCAACCATTCATTTATATCTAATCACTAAAATGTCAACCGCAAACCGAGTTCTTTAATAGTTTTTCATGAAGAACAACACCCTAAGAAATTCACCATAGAGACTCCACGTTAGGACATCGATACGGTTAGAAGGTAACAAAAACAAAGTAACAAAAGTAACAAACAAGTTTATAAGTCTATAAGTAACAAAAAAAGAGTCTTCTTGATTGCTGTGTAGCTACAAACCACTGACAAAATGCTATTGCGTTTAATGAATGGCATCAGCGCTTCACATGTTTAGCGACACTGCAATGCAGTCCGATCGCGAATGCAACTCAGAAAGCTTAAAGAAACGATCCGCACACATTAATGTTGTGATAAAATAGTATTTGCTTCGTCAAGAAAGCAAGTGTTTCGCTGTCAAGTAAGAATCAGACGAGTTTTCAAATTGACACTTCCGGGTTCCGTACAACTACGGATCGGTGGAGGGTACAAAATACCAAAATAACGAGGTCAGGATTAAACTAAATTTGTATCTTTCTATTTACATCTCAGAATGAATAACAAAAGGCGATTAGGGTTTAGCGCTGATTAAACTAGATTTTCTCGGATCACAGTGAAGATAAGTAAATTAAATTAAAACTTAATTTAATTACATTAAACTTGAGTAAATGCACAAGACGTACCGCTTCTATTCTAACAAACTGGAAATGAAGAAGTATCACATGTGTATTCATACATTATTTCTATAGTATAGGAACTATTTATAAAACTACAAAACCAAGTAATTATAAACCAATATTAAACCAAACACACTTAGTTGGCAGTGGTGCCTTAATGGTTAAGGAAGCGGATTTGTAATTAAAAGATTGCAGGTTTGAATCCTCGACCAGCAAGGTAGTACTGAGGTACCTTAAGCAAGATACTGCTCCCTGGGCGCTGAATTAGCTGTCCCCTGCTATGTCACGCTGTTACATATGGGTTAAATGCAAAAAATACATTGCGTTGTTGTGTGCTGTGGTGTGTCAACAATGACAATTAATCACCGAATTCTAATTATTAATATGCCAAAAAACAAATGCAAACTTTTATTTCCGTTCAAATTTATTTAAAATTCTGTATATGCATTTTGTGAAATGGTGTAAACACTTTATGTTCTAGAGATAGTTCTGCTTAAAGATAGGAAAATAATTTACTATGGGCTAGATGTGTAGTAACAATGTTTCTTGAAAAAGACGTGGGAACACCGTCCCTATTTAACTATGATATTTATATTAATGTATATATTTTTTGAGTGATCAAAACCACAAATATAGAAAAGAATAACATTGGTAAATATTAAAGATATTAAGTATATTGGTTAAGAATAGCTTAAAAATGCACATTCTAGTAGTGAAATATACATATATAAAATACGACACTTTTTCTCATGTACTACACACGTTTTTATTCTGTTACAGTAAAAAAAAATCAGCAGAAGAAAACAATTTCAAATTAAGGTAAATTTGACAGCATTTTATTAGCATCCCATATGACATGTGAGATTGTTAGCTAGGAGATATTTTGACACAGACTATAAAATTCACATGAACGCACCAAATCATGGCGTAATAACATATGAATTTTAATGGCTTTGGCTGAATGACCCATTTAAATAAAACATACTAATAAAACTATTGTTCAATCAACTACATGAACTTCGCTGTAAGAAAATCCGTTCAGTTTGAGAAAGTCTCCGCTTATTTTTAATTTTTCGCGCGGAGTTACTCTTTAAAGGATCCACATGGTTTATTCAGACCCCTCATAGCTGCAAAAAAACTGCCTGAATTATGGTTTAATATTTGAATTAATTGAACACACTAAGGTGAAACTACACGTTTTTATTCATCAAGAAAAATTAAGTAACGTTTATTCTTTAAATAACATATTCGAAATAACAATTCTCTTTAGTTTTTTTCACTAAAACTATGCAGGGTTAAATCTGGCATCTTGAAGGGCACCACAGACAGACCTGCTTTGTTTTTCTTCATTCTCGTGTTGGAAACGTACGGCGCGTACCATTAACAGCGCTACCGATATTTAAGTTTCTCTAAGTTCGTGTAGTATTATTATTATCAAACAGCATTAGTTAATAAACGGATAATTTACCAGATTCGTTTACATCTTGGTACCAGCCAGGATTATGCTGTATTTTAGTTGTTCTTACTGGATAGCTAAGTAACTCGAGCCGCTTAATTTAGAAGGACTACAGACAATTGGCAACTTTTTAGTATAGATGTTTTACATTGATCGTTTAATCGCATTGACAGTAATATATCCAGAAATCGTATTTTAACCTGATTTGCATTAAGACATTTAGAAAGATTCGTGGTCACTGTAAATTTAGGTACAGATATTTCATGTTCAAAGCAAAATTAAGGCACAACTGAACTAATTTTGTCCCCTTTCTCAGGTCCCGTATTTAAGTCTTATTACGACAATACTTTTGATTTAAGAAAGCAATACATTTTCTGGAGAAAAGGCGCAGGGGTTTTATGATTTTTGACTCGTAGTTGCATCTTCCTGCGTAGGTCATTAATGGTCTATCTGTAGACGGATCGTTAGTTAAGTTAGTATTTGTGGCCTTTCGCTCGCATGGACGTCGTTAGCGGGTTACCGACGAGCCCGGATGGCTGGATTTCTGGCCACTGGGGCGCAGGGTTTGCCCAACAGCCATCGGATTGCCTGCCGAGCAAACGGAAGCGAAGCTGCGCCGGAGGCGACGGCCCGCATGGAAACGGCCACGTTCAGGACCACGGAGGGCCGAAGCTGTGCCCGATCCAGGGCGTAGTTAAGAAACACAGTGAGTGATCTTTCCCCGCTAAGAATGTGAAAACGTCTCTTGTGGAATAGTCGGGACCCCCCCCTCCCCCCCCTTTAGGTGAGCATGAAGGAGAAGTCCCCTGTGTTTGTATGAACAGATAATCAGAATTCACTTTTTTTGGCCAGAGACAACTGCGTGTCCTAGGTATTTGTTTGGGCAGTATTGATGCTTACATCACAGATAACACAGAAGAACAAAGAACATAAAGTAAGCAAAGCAGATAAAAAAAAAATGAAGGGATAAAAGTGTAGAGCATTGCAATGCAAGTTGTGCCATATACTGACAATAATTATAATAATTGTAAGTGGAAACGAGAACAGAGAAATTGAATAATGGAATATGAAAGTATGAAAATATATGATGTCCAGTAGCTGAAAAGGATTTAGTGATTGTTGACACACCACAGCACACAGTGCACAACAACGAAATGTGTTCTCTGCATTTAACCCACATGTGACATACCTGGGGGCAGCTAATTCAGCACCCAAGGGCGGTACCTTGCTCAGGGTACCTCAGTGGTACCTTGCTGGTCGGGGGTTCAAACCTGCAGTCTTTCAGTTACGAGGGC